TTTGAAAGAAGAGTGAGTTTTGGAGGAAAAATAGTGAATTTTCTTTTGAACATGTTGAGTTTGATGTCTTTGTGACATCCGTTTTGAAATGTTTGTTGTAAAATGAGGAACTAACAAGTGCCAAATTGAGATAGTAGTGCAGTAAAAGAGAGACCATAGGTTCAGAGATGGAAGGGACCTCAAAGGCCATCTTGTAGTAAATGTTAGACATGGGATTTGAACACAAGTCTTCTGACTTCAGAGCTATTTTTCTGCTTACCATACATATGTAATATCATATATTATATCAATATAAGTTGGAATGGTTGGAGAAAGTTTCATATAGGAGGTATGGAACTTTAGCTGCATCTTGAAGGATGGGTAGAATTTGGTAGGAAGAGAGTACATTCTAGACAAGTGGAATATGCTTATGTACAGGTGTGTATGTATACATATATATATACACATACATACTATTTTATGTACATAAAATAGTGTGTATGTGTGTGTGTACATGTAGAGAAAGAGGTGTGCACAGTGTCTGGGAATACAAGAGAAGAAGGTGTTCTATCCCTTTCAAATTGGAACAAAGTTGCTGGAGACTCGAAAGGAGCAGATAGGCTGGAAGCCAAGACATTTGATCCAAGTGCTAGGAAGTATGTGACTGTTGCCTGGAGTCTTAGGCTGCCTGGGAAAGCAGAAGATTCTACAAGCAGAAGATTGTAGGTTTGGAAGGGAAGGATGTATGAGGCAGCAGGATTGGCCCAAGAGTAATAATTAACAGCAGTCACTACCATGGTTTTCCTCTGTTTCTATTCAGGCAGAGCAATTCAGCAGGGCTGAAGGTTTGGCATTAGACACCTTAATCATAACTGGTAGTCTCCACATGCTGCAAACCTGATTGATTGTGTCTGTATTTCCCCTCTCCACCAGAGCCTGCATCATGATGTTCAGAATGGCTTCTAGAACTAGGGAGACTCTTGTTTTCATAGAATGCCACTGTGTTTTTCTAGCCTCTGCTCCTTACTTGTGTTGGTATCTTTAAAGGAGAGTAGCTGTTAAATTTGGGTTTTATCAGTCAGAACTTTACTGACTGCCTTAGTATCTGGCATTATTCACATGATAGACTTAGTCAAATGGACAAAGACTGAGTTCTTCCAAATCTTCCTGTAAATTGGTTCCTGAATATTTCTTTAATGTTTCTGATTGAACACAAGAGTTTTTGAATGCTTAGCACCTGCAGAATGTACAATCCTAAAGGATTAATTTCAGCTAAACTTTCGACAGTATTGTGGTCAGATGGCGAAGTATGGGCTAGATGTTGGTACAGTTTTGTTGTATTTGAAGTTAATTGGTACCCAAAGTATGTTGATGAATGAATCCACATCAGCTTGGAATAAAGTCTCTAGTTGTATAGACTTTATTTCTGGCCCTGTCCTGTTCCAACTTTGTATATATTACTTGGATGAAGACATAGAAGCCTTCTTCAGTAGCTACTTCATACTTTTTCTTTCTTCTTGAACCCAGATGGCAGAAGTATTAAGGGAGGGAGGATATGGAGAGGCAGATATGTGCTCAATATAAATGAAAATACTTTTAAGGAATTTACTGTTGTCCAGAAGTAGAATGAACTGTTTTAGAAGGTGGTGAGCCACCATTACTAGATATTTTCACAGAGGTTGGATGAGCGCTTGTCAAGAATTTTGTGAAGGGGATTGAGAAATGTATTTTGACTAGATGACTTATGAGTTTCTGTGATTTTCCTCCTATTTTTTTCTGAAAAAAAATACATGTTAATATTTATTATGTGCCTCCTATGCTCAACTCACTTGAGGCCTTTGTGTTTTTCTTTTAGTATTTCATGGATAAACAGTAACATCCAGTGTTATCCTTTACTTATGTCACAAGACCAGCTTGCCTTTTTTTTTTTTTTTTGGTCATGTATGTTCTTTTGTCTTCTTTGCCGTTTTTCACATGTGAAGCATCATTAAGATTATACTACAACTGCTTTCACCCATTGTTGTGTATTTTTGTCATCCTTTGGATGATGCAAGTCAGGGAGGGATAGCTAACATTAGTTGACAGAATTAAGAGTCCAAATTATTTTAAGAGACTGGAATTTTGGGCCCAGACTAACAAATTGAAACTTAACAATGGCAAATGTAAAGTCTTCCATTTAAAAAAACAACAACAAAAAAAGATGCTTGAATGCATTATGGGAAAGACCTCGCTCAATGTGAACTAAAACTATAGTGAAGCTACTGAGAACTTAGTATGTATCAATAGAAGCCTGGTGCCCAAGTCAAGGTAATTATCTAATATTACTCTGCACTGCCAAGGTCACATCCAGAATATTGTATTTGGTTCTAGGCTCTACATTATAAGAACACTGACTAATTGAGTTTCTTTCTCAGGTAGGGCTACTGGAGTGGTTAAAGATCTAGAAACTATATCACACGAGCAGCAAATGAAGGAAATAGACAAGAAAAGATTTAGAGGGCTGTCTTCAGATATCTGAAGGGCTGTCATGAAAAAAAGGAAATAGAATTGTTCTGTATGATTCCAGCAGGATTCAACTAGAATGAGTTTGTGGAAGTCTTAGGGAGGCAGTTTTCAGCTTAATATAAGGTTGAAGTTCCTAATACAACTGTCCAAAAATGGAATGAGTTCCTTTATGAAGTAGTAAGCTCTCCATCACTAGATGTGTCTGAGCATAGGCACCATAATTCACCCTCTCTCCACATGCATATAATTTTGGTTTTATCTTTGACTCTTCCTTCTCATATTCAAGTTACCAAGTCCTATCCATTACACACCTCCATGATAGACACTGAAGATTTGTCCTTCCCCTCCCCTCTTTCCTTATGCCACCAACCTAGTAAAGGCTTGGAATATTACTCACTTGGACTCTTGGCAGTAACCTCTTAATGGGTTTTCTTGCTTCGACTTGTTTTTCCTTTCAGTCAATCAAATCAGTTAATAATTGAACATTTATTAAGCTACTCTGTCAGGTACTGTGATAGGTGCTGAGGATAAAAAAAGAATATGAGCTGCCTTAGAAGGTGGTGGACCCCCATTATTAGATATTTTCACTTAGAGGTTAGATGAGCACTTGATGTAGTTATGTGACATTGGTGCAGAAATCTTCAGTGCTTCTTGTTTCTTCTCAAAGTTCAGGTTCCTTTTGTGAGGGACTGTCTGATGTTGGCAGCTACCAGGTTGGGCGCTGTGGCAAGGGTAGGGTAAGATCTGGGTATTTGGGAAGTTGAGGCAGAGGCTGTGGTAGGCAGAGTCGTGGTGAACTGGGATGGGCTGGATACGGAGAAGCCCTGAGGCAATGGGCAATGCTTTGTGAGATAAGCTGGGTACATGGAAGTAGCCGCATGGAAGTGAGCTCCTGAGGCAAGGGGCAGTGCCACGTGGGAGTGGGACGGCAGAGGACTGAGTTCCCTTTGCTTAGTCCCCTCCCTATATGCAACGTCATCCCAGATGCCTCTTGTGACCTTCCTGACTTCCTGGGTCCCTTTGTGCAGCACTGACCCCAGACCCCTCCTGAGTCTGACTTCCTAGGTCACGTACTCTTGTCTATGTGCCAATCCCAGATGCCTCCTCCCCGTATCTGGTCCTAGCCTCCTACGTCACTCCCTCCCCCTTGGTGTGCTAAACTCAGACAGCCCCTTCCGGTATCTGACCCTACAATCATTGGCTAGTAAGCGGGCTGGGGAGGAGGGGCTAAGTAGGTACTTAGAACAAGCGTGGTCAGATCACACACGTGCGCTCCCCTGGCTCCTGCCCTGTTGCTCTGGCCTTGCTGCTTGGGCTTGCTATGATGGCTTGCTGTGTTGGCCTCTGAATAAAGCTCTGGTGTTGGCGCCTCCCGATGGCTCGTCTCTGTGTGGTGATCCGGCTGAGGACCGAAGACTCGGGTGTGAGTAAGACTCTGGTAGTGTGCTTCTTATAAGAGAAGTGGGTACCGGCGTACGGCTGGCAGAAGGTCGGCGTGCGGCCAGTATATCCTTTATCTTGGCATTCAAAGTATTCTAAAGGTTGAAGTGTGCCCACCCCCACCCCCGACTCTTCCAGCCTTATCTCATATCACTTGCCCACATACTCCCTATATCCCAGCCAAACTAAACATCTCTGTTGCCTCAGCACACATTGCACTCCCCTGCTTTTCTGCCTTTATTCATGCTGTTTCCTGGCCCTGGAATGTCCTCCCACCCCTTCTTTGGCTCTTGAATTCCCACTCATCTTTTAAAAGCCATCTCAAGTACCATATCCTCTGTAAAACTTTGCATGACCCTCCTGGTCAATAACAACCTTCTTCCCCTTTGGTTTGCACTTTTGTAACGTAGTCATCACCTAATATTTTGTATTGTGATTTTCTGTGTTTGTATCATATCCCTTTGCTGCTTCATGATAGCAGCAACTGACTTAATCTTAACTTACAATCTTCCATAGCACCTAGCACAGGTCTTTGCAAACTATAGGTAATCAATGTCTGTTGAATGAATAAATGAACAAAAATGCTAAAATACTCTCATTAGCTTGCATTGCAGTATTGCAGTGTCATGGGGGAGGGGGTAGGGCAGAGGAAGAATTAACTTTTAAAGTGATTTAAGTTAACACCAGTGTTTATTTTTCCTGGATAAATCTGCCTCAAGTAGGTTGTTACCAAAAAGACCTTTCCCAGAGGGGCTAGAAATATCAGCCTAGCCCCCTGAGTGGATTGGTTTGACTATTCACACCTCCTAAGTTAATGGGAGAAAGGTTACTTCTTGGAATCCCAGAGCCACCTCTGTGCGTGTGGTACAGATGTTAACACTCTACACAATGGAAACAGTGCCTTTGCATATGGTATTCTTCCCTAGAGGAATGGAATTTGGACAGGGCTGTATATACTGAGTATCCTTCAGATTCTGTCCTGGGCATCTTGCATGACATTCAGTGAAACACCATAGCACTGCAGGAAAAGGGGCAAAATCTTCTGCAATCTTAACAGGTTTCTCTTCTTTTGTAAGTGTTGACTCGGAAAAGGAAACGGGCCAAGAGTAAGAATGACAATGGGAGAGATATCCAGCCATCCCTAGACATTGACAAGTAAGTAGGTATGCTACATTCTTGGCACTCTTGTTTCCTATGAAATAGCTTGTACTCAACGAAGAGTCCAGTTCCTATTTCTAACTGCTTCTCTAGCATGTCATTCACTGCATTATTTGGATAGCCTGAGCCTCTTTTCCTTCATTCCAGTTTGCATCAATGTAGGTGGCCCCATTGCCTTCCTCCAAACTCAAGAAAAAACCTCCAAAATAATAAAAGCTGCCAGTCGCCTCACCCCTACCACTTTTAGGCTCCCATTTGCTTGAAGTTCACATTCCTATGTGTAGCCTTGTGCAGCCCTCAGAAAAGTGTGGACTGTTTTCCCATTTTATAGTTAAGAGCTGGGTTGCAGAAGGTTATGCAATGAAATAGATTGGGCTGAAAGCATCATAAAGAAGAAGGGGGCTGGGACAGCTAGGTAGTATAGTGGATAGAGCACTGGCTCTGGAGTCAGCAGGACCTGAGTTCAAATCCGGCATCAGACCAAACACTTGACACTTACTAGCTGTGTGACCCTGGGCAAGTCACTTAACCCCAATTGCAAAAAAAAAAAAAAAAAAAAATTAAAAAAAGAAGGGGGCTATTTGCAAATGCCCTTCCCTGGAAATAGTTGAGATACCACTAATGTTAAATTAGGATGACTAATTAAAAGGCAAAATTATTTAGCATCAAGACACAGATGTTAGATAATAAATCTTAGGACTTAAAGGAACTTTGAGAGGTCATCTGGTCCATTCTTTACTTCAAACAAAACCAAACTTGCATCCTCTCCATTTCTTAAGGGCCTGCTCTTTCAAGGCACTGTGCACTGGTTAGGTGATTGAGTATCTGTCCTTTTAAAAATGTGTCCATAGAAGGGAGTCCACAGACTTTCTTAGTAATATAAATTTCTCTACTGTATCTCAGTCTCTTATTATTATGGTTATTAAACACAGGTGACCAGAAAGAAAAACTCAGGGTTATACCCAAGAGAAGCTCTATTTGGAATTATTTGGCTCCATAGTGTTTCACAGCATTGCTGAATGTGGACTTTCCCCTTAGCCCCAGAGAAACAAGACCCTCATTCTTTTATCTTTAATATGATGTTTTTGGTATATGCTGTCTTCCTCCTTGATGCCCTGGTTAGATTATTTTGTGGACTTAGCTTTCTTCTTAGTCTCTAGCCTGAACTACTCTGGAGGCTGCAGGTGGTTATAGTAAGACAAAAAGAAACAAATATATGGGAGATGTTAAGATTCTGTAGAATTCTACATCAGAACCAGGAGTTTGGGGGAACTTCTTAGTTTATGATGCAGGTTGTGAAATGAAGTAAGCAGATAGAGTTGATTTACTAATCAGAAAACTACATCCAGCCCCCCGTAAAATGTCATCTTGATTTAATGTACTTGCTCCTTTTTCTGTCGAAATTTTAACTCTCCTTTGAAAAAAAACCATAACACTTAATTTCAGCAGAGTTTGACAGAATGTTTTATGTCTGAAGAGCAATCAGCATTGTTTGAGATAGTTAGAAGAGCTGATTTCATTACCATCCCACTGCTGCAGCAGCAGGATACAGAGGGAACAGCCAGGGAAAACTGCTAATCACTCAGTCCTTTTGATTGGCGTCGGGTTAGTTTTATTGGTGATCCTGCTGAGCAAATCTGCATTGCTAGACATGTCTTCTCTGTGGAATAACTTGGAGAAGTAAAAACACCATTTGAGACATAGCCAAGAGCTCAGAGGCACAACAGAATACTAAAACCGCTTTCCTTTTCTCCTGGTTGGATAGGAGTGAGAAATGTTACCTGTGCAAATCCCTGGTTCCTTTCAAAGAGTATCCAAGTCATGTAGACTTCTGCCTTCAGATTGCAACAGATAACCAGGGAAACAAAGTGGAAAGAGGCAATGGACAGCCTTCAGATTTTGAAGGAAAAGGTGTGAGGCAGAGGAACACAAGGGTAAGTGCCAGGTTGGGTGAGATGGGATTTACTGAACCATTCATTTCACCTGTGTACACTTCTTGGTTAAAGGCCACATTGTCTTTTTGTCTTCGAATTATCTGTGTTCTTGATCTCTAGTTAGAGCTCTGAAACATCTAGAATAATCGGAGTACCTGAGAAGAACAGGGAGATAGCCAACTGGGTTCTCTAAGATGGCTGTGTCTTGACCAGGAATTGGGGAGAGTATGCAGGCAACCTTAATTAAAGATTAGATGATAGACTTTTCCAAATTCTGGATTCTAATTGAATATATCATCTTAGAGCAGAGAGCAAAATGTAGGCATCAGTTTAGCATGTGAGGTAAAAGAGACCCTTTAAGAAAGTTACTGCATGAACGTAACAGATCTAAAGGAGAATTTTTATTCCTTAGGACTGGTAGGTTCTTTTGGCTTACTACCTGGGACTAACCTTCTTATCTTAACTTTCCCAAGTCCACTGTGGAGCTATGGTCTTTGAGACAGTCATGTTGGGCTAATTCTGGACAAACTCTTTAACTCTTATCATTGATTATGAATATCAGATGGCTCCCCATCTGAATAGGGTCTCTGTCCTTCAATAATATTGTTCTTGCCTCAGCTGGACTCTAATTGTTCGTGGTTGCCTTCCTTTTTCTTATCTTTTTTATTGGTAAATTTTGCTTTTAACCCAGCTGAAAAATGTAAAACAAAGACTCAGACCATAAAGTATACTTCTGGAAAATTGCTAGTGTTTACTAGAAAATATTCAGTACCGTATATATTTGTTAAAAGGAAAATAATTTATCTTTATTTATCTTTATTAACTTTATCTGTAAGGTAGTACTAGCATTGCCCATGGTATTGTTTCTGTGTAATGCCTTAATCTACATAATTGTAGTCAGTTCATTGGTTGATCTTTTGGATCTACTTTCTATTTTTACTTTATTTTTTTTATCTGCTTTCTTCACAATTCATCACTTTATATTTCTTTGAAGGTTTCATATTTGTCATTGCTTACAACTCATTGCCCTTCATATCTGTATGTTCCAATTTGCTATAAAGCAAAATATTATTTCTGGAACTGTCCTGCAGCTTTTTTCACCTGCCGAGAAAAGTGTGATCTGAGGTTAACACGGTCATATTTTAGGAATTGACCAGCATAGTGATTTCTTCTGCAAGAAGGTGACTGTTCTGTCTTTCTATTTCAGGAAGGGAATAGGAATGGAGGCCGACTCCTCAGCTTGTTGGAGCAATCTGAATATAAGTCTGCTGGTGAGCATAGAACCACTTTCACTAAGAAGCCCAAAGTGTTTTCTTATAAGGAAGCCCTGACCTTTATTTTATTTTATTTTATTTTTGAGGCGATTGGGGTTAAGTGACTTGCCCAGGGTCACACAGCTAGTAAAGGTCTGAGGCTGGATTTAAACTCAGGTTCTCCTGACTCCAGGACCAGTGCTCAATATCTACTGCATTACCTAGCTCCTCCTGGCTTAGCCATTTAACCCTTTAGGATTATTCCAAATTAGTGTAGTGTAAAGAGAACTGGATTCAGAATTCTTGAGTATGAATTTCAATTGTGTTGCTTATTCAGTTTTTTCTTCTGTGAAATGATGATTTGGACTTGATCTTTGAGCTCTGTTCCTGCTTTAAATCCTATATTACCCTAAGGAAGGCAACTCTGTCTCCTTTACCACTGTTTCATTTCCAGCTCTTTAGTAGGATCAGCAGAACCTTATAAACTTGGGTAATAAGCACCTTTCTGAAATGCCCAGGAAGGTTTTACTCTGTTTACTTCTGTTTTACAGAAACTTGTGGGGGAAACTTGGCATTCAAATATTTTTAATTGATTCTCCTAATACCTTGTGCTCAGTTTATATATGCTACAGTTAAACATTAGAACAGAGCCCTAACCTAATCTTACTAGGAAGTTTTCTAGAATAGGAGATACAGGTGAGCAAGGAATTTTTGATCAGATATCAATATTTACTAAATCACCTGCTTTCTCTGGGTGAATCAGTGAATTCACCTGTATTTGTTCCTACCCAACATATCTGAAGTCAGAGTACTGCCAGCCTTATTGGAGAAGTATATAGTAGAATATTTGATCTGAAGCAAAGTATGATGAAAAACCAAGTTCTCTCTTTCTTCTCTTATCACAGATACTGATATGAAGACAGAGTCATCAGAAGGAGAAGCTTTCAGGTGAATTCAGGACTGCTTTAGTACTTTGAGAACCTGGGAAATACAGACTCGGTTACACTATGTACTTGATGTGGTATTTGTCTTATGCAAATTGGTAATATGGAAAGAAGAGAAGAAAATTTTGAAAAATCATTAATACATATTTCATCAGTTGTGTAACAGAGTTAAAGTCATAGTGATTACATTATTTTCCAAATAAACACACAAAATGCAAGTTATAACTGATTAGTGGTTAAGTCTGCTGACAGGTCTTAACAAGCAAGTGTTGGCAGGCGAGTATGTCAAACATTGTTGGGAAGTCCAGCGTGCATGGGCAGGAATGTGAGTGCAATGACTTGTTTACTATAAAATGTTATATGGATACATGGCACAATATTGTGTCATCAAAATTTCAATGCAGAAAAAATGCAAATTTACAGTAAGTTATTGTATATAGATGTGTCATTTTAAAAATATATATTTTGTAGTTTTTTTAATTATGCAAATTAAAAAAACGTTAAAGAGTTAAAGTAGATTTCCAAGGCGACACTAAGTTTTTTTTTTTAAAGGAGGAGGTAGGCCAAATGAGTTTGGGAAACAACTGGGCAAAGACGAGACAATGGGCTTCCTAGGTGGGCAGGTACCAGGTGCTATTCTCCTGTGGCACCAACACCCATCTTTGGAGCGGTTTTTTTTTTTTTTGTTTGTTTGTTTTTGTTTTTTTTTTTTTGAGGCAATCAGGGTTAAGTGACTATGGAGCTTCTTTTTTTTTTTTTTTTTTTTTAAGAAAATAGGGAAGATTCAGTTAATTTGTAAATATGTGGATTGTCATTTGGAACTGCTGCTGTGTTTATCCAGAGGCAGACCATGACAGCTTGGGCTTCCCTTCCTTTTCCTGATTTTCTGAATAGTCATTGCAGAAAGGAAAAGCAGACAACAATTCCACATCATAAGTAGGTAATAGAGAAAGCATTTTTAAAATAATCCTGTTTCAAGTCCTGAAGATGTCCAATACTTGTTTCTGAAGAGGATTTTAGGAACCTCTTTGTATGAAGTTATTTTAAAAGTTAACTTGAGTTATCTAGTCTTACGAGCATGTATCATAAGCCTCAGGGTTAGCACAGAGAAAAGGATTTCCAAAACTTGGTTGACCATAAAATTGGGATAGAGATCAGTTGAGAAAATGTGCTGGTGATTTTTTTGGACCCCTTTGAACTTTTATTCATTTTCCCCTTCTCATCAGGTATCTTCCCTCAGAGATGGAGAAGGCAGATTGTAGCAGAGAAGACCAGAGCTCCTTTAACTTGAACGACTCTCCCATCAAGTCTTTTGTTTCTATTTCCGAAGCCAAGGATTGCCTGGTAGACTTTAAAAAGCAACTTTCCATTCGACCAGGCAATCGGAAACGGACCAAAGCAAGCAGAGGAAAGAGAAGAAAATCTTGAGCTTCTTACAATGAAAGATTGACAGATTCCTGAAAGAAATATATGGCTGGACTTCTTTCAGCAGGCCCTCTACTATTCTTTCTTTACCTGTTGGTTAGGGTCAGGCCATACCATTGTCATTATCAGCACAACTACGCAGTCTTTAAAAAAATATTTTCTATGATCTGCATAGGGAAACAGTGTATAGAATTTGTGGCTTCTAATTGCTTGTTTGAAATTGCTTATAGTTAAAAGAAAATTTAAATATATTTATGTATGTTTATAAGAAACTGAAGCAATAAGGTTTTCCTTTCTTTCCTTTGTTTTTGGTTCCCAGTGTCAGACATACTAGTTTTGGAGATAAGGAATTACAGATCATGTATTTCAGATTTAAATGCATCATTGGCTTTGGATGTGTCACCAATATTCTTCTTGATCCTTGGTCAATTAGTGTATGTTGTACATTCCCAAGCAGTTTCTGTGGTCACTCCCTTGAACTTTTCAGCTCTTTTTCTCCCCTGAGCTTCATTCCAAGAAGCTCCATCTGTCTGCAACATTTTTTCATCTGCTTGATGATTCCTGGCCTCATTCTACAGTCCATACACCAGACAAAATTCTCGGTGGCCATTCCTAGCAGTATTTCTCCCTAAAGTAAGAGAATGCTTTGAAATCAGTCATTTGTCCAGCCTTACCAGACTCCTGTTAGATATAGCCATTTTCCCTTCACAGCGTAGCCAATGGGAATGTCAGGTATAACCTCTTGGTTAGAAATTAGCTCAGCTGTGTTTAATGCCAGAGGTAACAGAGGCAGCAGAGACCATCTCTGATTTCATGGTGTGTTGCACCATTGGGTGTTTCCAGTGTACGACAGAGATGTGGCCCAAACTTTATTCAGTATCCTAGTAGGATTTAGGCTTTTAAAGATAATAAAATGTAATACAATAGAAAAGAAGATGTGCAAGGTATATGAGAGAGGGGAAGATGGGTGTAATAGAGAGAATATTCACTAGCCTTGGAATAAGGAGGCCTGGTTTTAAATCCTGGCTCTGCTTAATACCTAGGGGACCTTGGGAAAGTCATTAACTTTAGGCCTCAGTTTCCTTACCTTTAACATAAGGGGTTCAGACTACTTAATCTCTAAGGTTCCTTCTAGCACTAAATCCAATGATTCTTCGATAAAATTCTTTGTGGCAATAAATCCCATGATCCAGTTGATAAGAATATTGACAAAGAGCTAGGTTTGGTCAGAGCCTCTTTGAAGGTACACCAGAAAGGTAAAGGAGGTGGCAGCTGACTGAGAATGGACCTTTAACTAGGGAAACCTCAGCTAGAAGTTTCCTCTAACTTCTACTTCTGAAGTCCAAATGTTTTGTTTTTGAGAACTGGAATGGAATGTTTGTTGGGTCGGGGAGGGGTTTGATCTAGATTCCCAAAGGCCCCTGGGATAAAAGGCACAATTCAGGTCTAAGTGCTGGCTGAAACTACCCCATACAGTTTCTTTCAGGGTGTTGGGGTACTGCTGTATAGTTTTCACTGTTTTGGAAGAAGATGGGAAATAAGGAAACACAAGATACTGATCCTTTTTTGGTGGCAGAAGGCAAGACTATGGAACAACCTAAATGTTTGCTGTCACTCTTGCTCCTTCACGTCCCCAAGGGAGAGCAGTCTGACATTGGCACCACTTGCTGGCGGGGTATCATGACCTGTGCCAAACAGTCATTCTGTACCCGTGAGAGGGAGACCCCTCTACTTCAGTGCTGAGAGAAATGTTGCATTTTGACTGTGATATTGATTCTTTACCAGTTTTCCTTCTAATGAAAAGCAGTTTATCAGTTATGCACCATCAGCTCAACTCATGCTAGTTTTCTTTCTCATTAAATGACAATTTATTAAAGTTAGACCTCCCTAAACAGGGGATATAATGTTTATCTCCTCATCTAAAGATTAAGGAAACAACGAGCTGATCCTGGAACATCAATTACTTTTCCTTAAGGTTGAGCAGTCACCATGCAAGTTTTGGTCAATTGAAGGAGGATAGAAATTAGGAAAATGGGAACCTTAAGAGTCCCAGTTATCTCACAAATTCACTAACAGGAAGTCGGGGTTTTGTTTGTTTAATTTTTTTTTTTGGTGAGGCCTCCTAATATTTACTTTTTAGAGCTAGAAAATAATTTAAGTCTTTCTCTACCTTACCAACACTGTGCTTCAGCTTCAGTCTTACACTGCAGTCTTCCCCAGTACCTGGGGCCTTCTTAGCCTGGAACGTCTCATTGTTGAGTTCCTCCTGGGCCCTCTTGTTTTGGGGATGATCCCAGGCTGGCCAATCTTCATTTCCTTCCTGGCTCTGCTTCTGACTTTCCAGACTTAAAACACCATATTCCTGTGCCAGGTACTTGCCACCTCTCCTCTACCTTTCCAGCTTCCTTTTGTATGTTGTCTTCTCCCATTAGATTGTAAGCTCCCTGAGAGCAAGGACTGTTTTTTTGCTTATTTTTATTTGTATCCCCAGAGCTTAGCCTAGTGCCTAACACATAATGAATGCTTAATAAATTATTGTTTCCTTGCCTTGCTTTGCCTTACCAGTGATAGTAAAGAAGTCAAACTGCCCCTGTGGGTTTTTCCTGCCTTAGGAACCTCAACACAAGAGGTTCCTATTTGCTAGGAGATGGGGGAACTACCATTAGAAATTACTCCTTTGCAACTTGGTTGACCTTATAAGTACTAAAAGCTTTTTTTTATTTGTACTACCACAAAGAGCCTAGAATGTTAGGACTAGAAGGGATCTTTGAAGAGTATGTTTGAACTTGAAGAACCTTAGAACAGCAGTTGTCAGAGGTAAAAAGGACCTTAAAATATAGTAGACTCCATTTCTATGATAACAGTAGCTAACATTTATCTATAGCACTTACTATGTGCCAGATACTAGGCTAAGCACTTTACAGTTACCTCATTTGATCCTCACAACATTTGGAGGTAGGTGCTATTATAATCCCAATTTTACAGATGAGGAAACTGAAGCAGGCAGAGATTAAATGCCTTTCCCAGGTCACACAGCTAGTAAGTGTCTGAGACCAGATGCAAGCTGGGGTCCTCCTGACTCCAGGCCCCGTGCTCTATCCAGTGTGCCACCTAGCTATCTATATAAAGCTTTAGGATTTACAAAGCGTTTTCCTATTTATAGCAGTCCTGAAGTAGATAGTGCAGAAATTATGCCCATTTTGCAAATGAGGAGACTGGAACTTAGAGAAGTGATTTTCCTCAGATTACACAGAACCAGTATTCCCATTGAATGTAGCCAAAATGCATCTTCCCATAACAACCCATTTATTTGTGGCTTTCTTTGCTGCAACTCTGTGAAGTAGGTAGTGAAAGGATGAAAAGATAAGATATTGGTGCTTGGGAAGATTCATGGGAGGTGGACATCTTTTAGAAGAAGAAACGGTACCAGTGAGGTGATCGGCCCAGAGTTGCCATATGTGGGAGCCGGGATGTGAACATCGGTCTTCCAGTGTCCTGTCTATTTCCCAGTGTCATGCTTCTTCATTCTTCTGGTTCCTATATTTGAATTAGTTACTTCCCCAACCTCTTACATTTTCTGAGTTCTTGGAGCAGTTTAAGAACAGTGTACTCCACCAGGTGGAGAAATAGGGAACTGGTAGGGACAACTTTGCGTCCAGGTTTCATTGTCCTTATATAGTACCAGGAGTACAAGATTTGGGAGCAGAGGATCGAGGTGCCATTCTCACCTTGGTCACTGTTAGACCTTGGACAACTACTCTGATCCTCAGAACAAGAACCATAGATGTGCATTCTGAGGACCCTTATAGCTACAAATCTTATGATCTCACAATTCAATGAGTTAAGGATTTATTGAAAATACAGTAGATTTGGGTTACCTTGAGTGCATGTTGGCAGTGGGAAATGCAAGAAAGTATAAAGCATCTTAGCATTGAAAAGGCAGTTAGTTGGTATGGTGGGTAGAGTGCCAGGAATCTGGAAGACTCCTCATGAGTTCAAATCTGGCCTCAGATGCTTCTTAGCTCTGTGACCCTGGGCAAGTCACTTAACCCTGTTTGCCTCAGTTCCTCAACTGGGGCAGCTAGGTGGCACAGTGGATAGAGCACTGGCCCTGAAGTCAGGAGGACCCGAGATCAAATCCAGCCTCAGACCAAACACTTGACATGTGTGACCCTGGGCAAGTCACTTAACCCCAAATGTCTAAAAAAAAAAAAAGAATCTTAGCATTGGAGGTGGACTGACTACCTTTAGAAGAAGGACGCTACTTAGAAAATTGCTTGTTTTTAAAGCCTTACACCATCTAGTTAGATTAAGCTCTGCCTATAGGGCAGGTCCAGAGCTAGAAGAGTCAGAAATCATAGAAGATGTGATGATACTACTATCACGTTTGGCCCCAAACTTGAAAACATTAGCTCTTCCTTCTTTATCCTTTAGTCTTCCTTAACATCTGGAGTCAGAAGCTAAGAGCATGAGTGTGAACTCTGTCAGGCTTTGTTGTTCTTGTTGGTCACTGACCTTTGATGTTGGAACAAGCTACTGACACCTTGTTTTGTTGCCCTCAGCTCTAAGGGGGGTCTTTGGGACCCCTTCCTCTCACTGTGTTCCCAAAGGAACGGCTGATTGGAGCCCACCTTTCTCTAGGAGGAGGTCATTGGAGGCATTCTTCCCTCAATTATTCCAAGTCAAACCCCCTTGTTTTGTAGATGGAGAAATTTATATCCATAGAGAAGTAATTTGCTTAAGAAAAGTGGCAAAACCAGAATTTGTACCCAGGTTTTTTGAGTCTAAGACTTTCCCCTATGCCCTACTGCCTCTCCATAGTCTCCAGCCTGGGCTATTTCTTTTGTTGCCCACCTGGCTTTGAAGAATTCAGGAAGACCCTCAATCCAAAATCAGAAACCAAGGGGGATGGTGTGTCTGTGTGTATACATCTCAGACAAAGTACAGAGATACAAACATGAGAGAGTGAATTTGTATTGAGCTTGGAAGGTGGAAGAGACAGAAAAGTCTGGTGGTATCCTGTCCCTTAGGATAGCAGCAAAGACAATGTCTGGGAATGGGCCCAGGCTGGACTAGAACGTGAGGTAAGGCTGCCGTTTCAGGCCTCTCAGTGCCTCACATTTGAGGTTCTCCAAAGACTCACTGGCTTCTTGATTCAGTTTCTCAGTGCGCCATTGGACAGAGTGTGACTGAAGTCATTGATGATCGGGTCTCTGCTATTTTTCCATCCTTCGTTCTCAAAGAGGACCAATGACATCATAAATTGGATTTAAATGAGGCAGAGTTGCGTAAACTCTCTTTTCCAGAGTCATCGAAATCTAGTGGCAAGACAAAAATTAAGAAGACTGGCCATGCCCCAGAATGGAGCTTGGCCTTTCTAAATTAAGGTCTTTACCAGGTTTCAGTTTGTCTGAGGCCACACCCATTCAGTGACTAAGCAATTAGGTAAGAATTGAGACAAAATATGGCCCAATTTGTCATCACAAAGATAACAGTCTGGGAAGCACAGACCCTCAGGGTTTCTGGTCAGAACAGAAAACAATTGCTATTTGCACTAAGCAATCAAAAATAATCTATGAACTACCTAGGCTTGGGCTGGGGGTTATTATCGGCCATTCCATCAAAGTCAGAGTGATTTGGGTTTAAAGGTGTAGTCAAGTAGCTCCATTTAAAACACAGTGGACTTTTTAAAAGCCTGTTTTTTCAGGTTTATATTTCAAGAAATTGTAAATGTGCAGGACAAAAAGTAATTTCTCCCAGTATTTTGAAGGAGGGGCTTCCCTGGTGCAGAAAGAAATGGGTTCTCCAGCTTTCAGACTTGGTATCCATCAAATGCTGATCCTGCTGAGGAGCTCTGAGGCTTATATGTGTCCTCTTGTGTAGGTACTTGGCTAGTTCAGGACACTGCTCACAGAAGGACATTTGACTCAGAATTTCCCAAAAGATAGAAAGCAATAATAATTATATAGTGCTTTAAGACTTGCACAACTCTTTACAAGTATCTCGTTTGAACATCCATGTGAAGTAGGTGCGATTATTATCCTCATTTTTCAGATGAAGAAACTGAGGCAGATAAGTGAGTTGCCCAGGGTCACACAGCTAGTGTCTTGAGACTAAATATGGACTAGGGTCTTTTTGACTTCAGGTCCAATACTCACAGTGTGCCACCTAGTGGCCCAATATTTAAAACTAGCTTCCCTCTGTAAGGGAGGAATAACTGCCCATTTGGCCACACTTTCTTGTATGATAAAATACTGTGTGCTCATCTTATTGATAATTATTCCAATCCTGCTTTCATCCCTGAAGAATGGCTGTCCACTGGTCCCTGTCACCTCCAGAAGAAGTTGTAATTTAAAATAGCCTCCCTTCCTTCAGCAGCAATCTTAAGTTTCTCTAGCACTTTACTGGAAGGAACCTTAGAGGCCTTCACATCCAGCCCCCTTATCTTACGCATGAGGAAACAGAGGTATGAAATGATTTGCCTAAGGTCACATAGCTAGTAAGTGTCTGAGAGGGGATTCAAATTCAGGTCTTTCTCAGTCCACTACTCAGTGCTGCCTGAGACTTTATCTAAGCTGTCTTTTCCCAGTGGTTAGAACAGTGTTCTACAATAGGGACTTAATATTGAATGAGTAAATGGAAATAAATGAATAAATAGAGCTGGAGTCTATCTTGAAAAGAGACCTTAGAGACCATCTCATTCAGCCCTTCATTTTATAGAGCAGGGAACTAAAGTCTAGAAAGGACAAGTAAATAAATGTCCACTGGACCTGGAGTCAGGAAGACCTGAGTTCAAATCTAGCCTTCAAACACTTACTAGTATTGTGAACCCGGGTCTCAATTTCCTCATTTATAAATGGTGCTTCTTATGAGGATAAAATGAGCTGATATTTGTAAAGTGGTTTGCAAGTCTTACAATGCTATATAAATTCTAGCTAGAGTTAGAGATAGACATCACATGTTTCTCACATACAGTAGATAGGTTTTGTTTTATTATCCTGTTACCCTCTCTGATTTTATTGGATGGTTTAATACATCCACCTTTAAAGTTATGATTGTTAGACGTGTGTTTTTCTCCTTTTATTTCTTTTGAATAGGTTTTTGTCTTCTTTTAAGTCAGTATTTTATTCCTATGAATTTTATCCCTATTTACACTATTTTGATGTTAGTCTGTTCCTACATTTTCTTCCCCATTCCTATATACCTGCCCTTTTCCAAGGTCCTCAAATTTATTTACTTTGTAAATTTTTCTTTCTTTAAACACATTTATTTAGTAAAGCACTGCTAAACACTAATGATACAAGTTGAAAAGCAAGACAGTCCCTGTTCACAAGGAGTTCACATTCTAATTGGGGATACAACATATATGGAAGATTTAAACTTCAAGTCATATAGAAAGATCTTATGACCTGTAGAGTACAATGGCAAAGCAAATAGTAATGCCTGTTCTTTAACACCATTGCCATTGATAAAATCATATCAGTTTCTGATGTTGAACTATTTAAGGGTGCCAAGTATTTTGGTGGTGAGTATTTTGCTTTCTGGGTCTTCAGTATCTGTAGCTGTGGCACCTGTAGGAGCAGCTGCTGGTCTTCATATCCACAGGGATTGCTTCCCAGGATGATGGCTATGGGTAATGGGCTAGAAGCATTGCTTGTTTTCCAATACTCTTGGGTTCAGAGTCCCAGGTTGTTTCTACTGAGGTCTGAGAAGAGATGGTGGTCAAAGTATCATAGATGAGTTCCCAGGGTCACAAATATTCAACACTGGTGAAGTGAAGGGGAATGATGGATAGGTGGATAAGAAAGAAAACTGGACTTTCTCCCTACACCCACCACACTTTAACTTCCCAGGGATCCATGATTCCAAAACACCATGGCCTCACTAAGCCAAGTGCTTAGCATATAGCCTAATCAGTAGTAAGCCCCTTAATAAATTCCTATTTGTTCCTTCATTCATTCATTCATTCATTCTCTGTATACCATGAAAACAGCTCCACATGGACATATGATACATCCTTGTCCCTCATCTCCTTCTCTCTCTAATAAAGACCTTCAGACAATGGCAGACTGTGTAGGAGGTAGAGAAGGAAGGTAGGTTTAAGGTGTGTAGCAGTTGTGAGTATAGGAGGTGTCCTAAGTTCTGTTGAAGCACTTAAAGTTATTACAGTGGACTTTGAATTCAGTTCTCTGAAGCAAAGCCCCAGCTGCCCTTTCCTAGTTATGCTTCTACCTTTCCTTATATTCCCAAGTGACCCACAACTATTTTGGTAGTCCCATTAGTACAAAGTCACTGCACACAGCCATGGTTTTAGAACAGAGAGTTTCCAGTCCTTAGAAGAAATATAGTATATCTTCATGTGACAAGTCTAACTCATTTCAATGACTTGCCTCCCCACTGACTGCCTTCCTCTGTGTCCATCTGCACCTCTTTCTTAAGATAAATATCAAGAGGAAACTAAAAAATGGAGACTTTTCCAAGGCATCTGGAAAAGCCAGAAGTGATGCCAACAAATTCCATTCTCCTACATCAGAATCACAGAGCAAAAGAAATTAAGTAAATGAAACCTGAAAAGAGACTTTGCATCATTGGGAGGAGAGTAGCTCTTCAATGGTGATGACCTGCAGGGAAATCCCTACTCCACAAGGGAAGCAACATACTATTAAAGAAATATTTGCAAGCATACCAAAAAATGGAAGGAAGCTTCCTAGAGAGGGAATCCTGCGTGTAAAGCAGGCCAAGGAGCTTAAAAAGAACTGGCAGTTTTGTCCATTTCTAAAGTCTGAAGGCTTCTTGGATTCTTTCTTTTTAAAATTTAACTATTTCCCTTTTTCCACCTGACTCTCTTTTCAATCAAGCCTGCGGGCTTATTTCAAAATCTCTCCCCGCTCTCCTTCAATATCATTTTAAGTAACATTCATTTGCCACACTCCTTTCCCAAGAAGTTTTTCTGTTTTGTCCTCTTGATTATTTATTTTCCATTCTTGTCTGTTCTAAATTCTATTTGCCAATTCAAGGGCTATATCCTTTTTCTTCTGTTATTCTCTTTGTGTCCCGAGAGCTTCTGAAGTACCAAATTTGAACTCCTTCGTCTATCCCATTTCTATGTTATTGTGCTTGCAGATCTTAACCCATGCTCTCTGTGTTCTGCTCTGCCTCCTACTTAGAAACATCAGTTCATGAAACCAGAGGCAAATGGAAGCAGTTGTGTGGTGGGTGTCTCTCTGTAGTTTAATTCCTCATCCTCCCACTTTCCCTTAGCTTGATCACTCAACTCTCCCAATTTACTTAAATCATTAATTTCTTCTTGTCTGGTCAACCTCTCTCTGGTTCTCTAACGCCCCTAGGACTCTGAATGCTGGCTGCCCTTGGGGAGGGGAGGCAGTGTGGTCCAATGGAAAAAGAGCTCTAAGAGTCTGGATTAAAATCGTAACTTTGCCACTTAGTTCCTGTGGGATCTTGACCAAGTCATAACTTCTGAGCCTCCATTTCCTCATCTTTAACATGAGAAGGTTAGAGTGGGCGACCTCCAAGGTCTCTTCCTGTTTTATGTCATGTGAAATTTGAGCTCTTGTGAAATTTACAAGACTAGTTACTAGGATGTTAACAGCAAAGACAGTTGGGGCCTGTACCTGTAGAAAGGACCCATAAAATGAACAAAACATACCCTCCCAGAGGGGTCTCCCTGCCCTCAAGGACCTTGAAGACCCCCATTCAAAAAATATTTATCAATTAAGCATTTCTTGTACAGTAGAAAGAGTGCTGGTCTGGGAAGCTGGAGAGACCTTGATTTGAATTCCACTTTACAAGATATGTGCCCAGGAGTAAATCATGTAATCTCTCTCAGCCTCAGTTTCCTCATGTGTAAAATAGGAACCTGATAAAAATATATCTAGAGTGCTTTGCAAACTTTATCACCTTATCAATGACAGTTATCAGTACCCCTTTGAGCTCCAACTTCTATGCCCTCTTCCTGACCCTGAAAGACGTTTAGTTTTGCTTCTTGAGCTCCTTTCCAGGCAGACCGGAGACCCAGCCCAGAAGGTCATCAACCTATACAGTTGGGCATGGGCTATGGGGCAAGTGCCTTTGGAGGAAGGAGGCGGGGCTGGAGGCCTTATAATTCAGTGTCTCACAGCTTAGTCTCACTCTCTGGAGCAGAACCAGGTCACTAGAAGGATTCTGAAAGAAATTAAGAGAGAGGTAAGCTTGTGCCCTGGGAAGACTCAAGAGAAGGATTAAAGGAGCATCACAATCCTTATCCCAAGGTAAGACCAGGGAGGAATTAACTCAGTCTCTAAGCCCTCTGAATTTCTTTCTTCATCCCCCCTCTTCTTCCCCATCCCCACCACATTCCATCCCATGGCTTCTACTTGGTCCTGCTAGAGGGAAAGAGGTAGGAGGCGAGGGGGCTTCAGCTCCTGATCCTGGCTCTGACGAGCACATCTCTGTACAGTAGAGGGAGAAGAGAGGGACTCTTATGGATCTTCCCCATTATCTGATTTAGCAAAGAGAAGGAGGAACTATTAGGATTTGGCAATCTAGGGCTTGGTAGAGGGTGTGGTGGAAAGGGGTGAAAGTGTAGGAGTGGCTGACTCTAGGCCCTCGCTTTGGACATCTCCTCAGCTGGGGTCTGCCTGGACCCCTGAGGTGACAGGCATTGGCCTGAAAGCCAGAATCCAATCATATGAAGTACTTCTACAGAGGGGTGGGGGAAGATGTGATTACATAGGAGAGTATATTGTGTACGTAACAATCCTGATCTATTCGAGGAGCTATGCATTGAAAAAGAATTCAGGAAACAGTTTGTTATTATGACAAGAGCAAAAACTGTAAGAAAAATAAGCCTGTTTTTCCATAGGAGGTGGGATTTTGGTCCTTAAGTGGGTGAAATAGTGAACCTGCTACCATGCAAAAAAAAATCCAACATACCAAGCCATAGTGGGTTCCAGAAGCCAAATGACCCACGCTGATCTTCTCCCAAACTTTCCCTACGCTGTTTTCTATAAATTGGTCAGTAGTGTTGTGTTCAATTTATTGCCTCTAAGACTAAATTTCAGACTAAAATTGAAACAAAACATTAAATTTAAAACTCACATACATACAAGGTCCACTCTCCACCCTTTTTCACATACACTCAATCAAAGGCCAATTTCTACTTTGAATAGGTAAAAAGACAACATGACTATCATCTGAGGATTGGATCTTAACCATCTTCCCAGCGTCTTCCTAAGAGAGGGATTACATTTTACAAAGCATTTTCGGATCCATTCTTTTATCTTTGATCATCAGAATAACCCTGTGAGATAGACAAGGCAAAGGGTAAACCCTTCGTGCAGAGGAAGAAGCTAAGCCTTTATCTCTGCATGTCTCTAGGGAGGTGGGAATCTCTCTTTGTATGTATATCTATATTACATATATAAATGTGTATATATAGTGTGGTATGCTTATCTGTCTTGTATGTGCTCTGTACATGAAAGGGTTTATATATATATATATAGCATATATATGTATATATAGAGTATATATATCTCCTTCATATATAGTATATATACATATATATAGTATAATGTATGTATGAGGTACATGTATACATACCGAAATACAAACATCCACATGTGGTAAAGCGTGTGTGTGTGTGTGTGTGTGTGTGTGTGGGGAAAGAGAGGAGAGACACCCACATCTGTCCTATCTGGCAGCACGTAGAAGCAAAGACTTACTTTCAGTTTCTTTCTCTGGAGACAGCTGGTGGCTCATTGGATAGACTGCTGGGCCTGCAGTCAGGAGGACCTACGTTCAAATCGGTCCTCTGATGCTATCTATGTGATCCTGGGTAAGTAACTTAACCAGTTTGCCTCAGTTTCCTCATCTGTGAAATGGGAATAACAATAGTGTTAATATTATTCAGTCATTTTCAGTCGTGTCCAACTCTTTGTGACCCCATTTGGGGTTTTCTTGGTAAGATACTAGAGGGGTTTGCCATTTCCTTCTCCGGCTCATTTTACCAATGAGGAAACTGAGGCAAACAGGGTTAAGTGACTTGCCCAGGGTCACACAGCTCGTAAATGTCTGAGGCCAGATTTGAAGTCAGATCTTCAGGCTCTGTTCATTATACCCTCTAGCAGTCCCATGATAATTGTACCCACTCCAACAATGGAATGGTCATGAGGATCATTTGTAAAAAGCACCTAGTACAGTGCATGACACATAGTAGGCACTCTATAAATGCTTATTCCACTCTTCTTCCTTCCCCTACAATAGGGACAACCCCTGCCTTTACCTCACAGAGTTCTGATAATCAAATAAGAGCATAGATTTGAAAATGCTTTGTAAGGGGCAGCTAGGTGGCACAGTGGATAGAGCACCAGCCCTGAAGTCAGGAGGACGAAGTCAAATCCGGCCTCAGACCAAACACTTGACACATACTAGCTGTGTGACCTTGGGCAAGTTGCTTAACCCCAATTGCCTTACCCAAAAAAAAAAAAAAAGAAAAAGAAAATGCTTTGTGAAGCAAAACTCTTTATGACAGGCCAGAAGGATTGACATCTTACGGATTTTACCTTCCCTCTTCTCTCCATATAGTTACTTTATATAATTATGCATGCACGTGCATGTGCACACACACACACACACACACATACACACAGTATCTCTAAAGTCTTAGTGCAGTTTTAAGTTTTTAATAACTATTAAAAGTTATTAAAGATTATTAAAACTAAAAGCTGCACTAAGACCTCGAGGATGCCCTGTGTATGACTGAGTGTGATGTGTATGCTGGTCTTTTTTGGAATGTACCGGGAAGAGGAAAGTGTCTATGTGTCTGTCTTGGCGGTGTACCCATGCCTGTGTCTCCCTCTATGCTTCCCTTACAAGCAGGTGTTAGGAGAGGAGTATTTATCTGTGATCTGGGAAGGAAGGATGGATGTGTTTCTATATACATGTCATTTCCTGTTTGGGGTGGCTATCAGATGACTTTGTGTGTATTGTGTTATTCCTCATAAACCCGTTCTTGGTTTGTAATGCAAGCTTCAGCCCCAGTATCCCTCCCTATTTTCCCAGGCCATCACTCCTGCCCCGACCTCACTTTCCCCTTCATTGTCTTAGCCATCTAGTTTATCATTTCAGCAGTATATTGCCCTCCACCCCTGAATCCCTTGCTCCCTAGCTACCAACACTTGTCATAATCTGCTACTCTTTAACCCTGGGTCATACTCACCATCTACCTTCTCTCCTGCTTTCAAGTGGCTGAACGTTCCTGGAGGAAGTCACTCAACCTTGCTGACTAGGTCCTAGACAAATTCACCTCATCTAATCAGTTGGGTTTTCACTGCTTGACTCTCTTTCTCATACGTCCTGTAATAGTTGTTTCAAACCTTTTCTTTTGTCAACAATGCCATGCCACCCTTCCTTCCTCTCTCTACTTTTATGAAAAGAATATGCCATGAGGGTCCTCATCTCTCCTTCTGGCCTTTTTTTTTTTTAGTTATGTTTGCATCTATTTTTTGTAAGTTACAATAAAGCTCCCATAGTCTTTGGACTTTGAAGTTTTTTTTCTTGACTTCAATTTAAACATAATTAAAAACTAAGATAATACTGAACACCTAGTCACCCTACACGTATTCAAGGCATTATATGTACAAACATGTAAAATAATTACAGCTGTTCTGTACTTAGTCTCATAGTTCTGTTCCCAGCCTGAAAGTCTAAGATACAGTTTGCCAAGGTTGAAGAGTACATTTCTAAGTAAGTAGGACCCAAGTATCAGTTCCATGCCTTACACAGAAGTCTGAAAAAGGCTATTACAAATGAGCTACATCATGCCATTTAACAAACATTTGGAAACTTCTTTTTGCCTATCTCTATACCTGGGTTCTGTTCCCTGATATTCATTTGATGAGGCCCAAGAAGAGGACTGAGAGCGGTACATTGGAAATGAAGCCCTCAACCAGCAATTGATTAAAACCTACCCCCAAACCAAGGAAAGACTAGGAATAGGTGGCTGCTTCAGACACAAGAAGCACTTTAAAAATAGTATGTGGTAAGTTTTGCCTGGCTTTCACAAATGCCTTGTCCCTTTTTTTTTTGTTTAGGCAATTGGGGTTAAGTGACTTGCCCACAGTCACACAGCTAGTAAGTGTTATGTGTCTGAGGCTGAATTTGAACTCAGGTCCTCCTGACTTCAGGGCTGGTACTCTATCCACTGCACCACCTAGCTGCCCCTTTGTCCCTAATTCTGCTCGAGTATATAGAGTATATCCCACTTGAAAGTTTTGTCTGGGTTCCCAAAACTGGAACTAACTTTGTAAAAAGTGAAAATAAAACAGTGCTATAAGCAAGGGGTGCTTTGTATTCCTGTAGGCATTTAGTTTACAAAGATATTATGATGAAAATAAGAGAAATTTGAAAATAGACCCAGTGAAAACAAAAATAAGAAAGAAAAAAAAAGATGGTAAGAGGAAAGGAAGCCAGAGAGAGCCACATCTCCTCAAATGTTCAAAAAGAAAGGCATATATATTGTGTTGTTACTATTCACACCCAGAAATAAGGCACAGCTTATCAGTCCAAAGTGGAAGCTGGTCATGTTGAAGAGCGCCTCTGGGACACTGCTGCCATAAAAGCCGCTGCTGCAACCCTAAACTCCCTCTACCACCAGCCTGCTCCTTCCTCAGTAGCCCTGCTGGCCTGGCAAACCCCGCATTCCACCCAGGAGGAGCGATGAGGGAAGCCCCTTCTGGCCCTTCTTGCCAAAGCCAGCCCTCTCTTTAGGCCTTTGATGATTAAGTGGCATAGTGGATGGGGGCTAGATTTTGAATCAGAAAGACCTGAGTTCAAATCTTGTCTCAAAGACGTACTAGAAGAGGTTCCCAAATTTATTTGACTTACTGCCCTTTTTTAAAAAATATTTACTCAGAGCCCCCCTGGAAATCTTTCTCTAACCATTCAACATTTTTTAATTTGCCTCATTTCAAAATATATATATATTTTTAAAATGATACATCTTAAATTTAATAATTTATTGTAAATTTGTGGTTTTTCCCTGCATTGAAATTTTGATGATGCAATATTGTGTCAGGTAACCATATAGTAATGTACTGTAAACAAGTCATTACTTGACATGCTTGCCTGCTAACACTTGCTTGTTAAGACCTGTCAGCGGACTTGACCACTGATCAGTTATAACTTCCATTTTGTGTGTTTATTTGGAAAATAACGTAATCACTATGACTTTAACTCTGTTACACAGCAGATGAAACGTATTAATGGTTTTTCAAAAGTCTCTTCTCTTCTTTACTAATGCTTCAACCACCCACTTATTTTTATTCAATGCTCTGCAATTGCACCTGAGGCTACCACTGCCCTCCTGGATCATTCTAGCACCCATACTGCCCACTTTGGGAACCTCTGAAACTAGCTATATTAGCCTAGCAAGTTGGTTAACTTCTATCTCAATTTCTTCATCTGTAAAATGAAAATAATAACATCTACTTCACATCTTGTTGTGAAGCTCAAATGAAATAATATACGTAATGTACTTTGCAAACAAAGCATTCTATAAATGTTAGCTGCTGTTATCATAATCATTGTTGTGGTTATTAAATCTTATCTCTTCCTATTTCCTCCAGGAGCTTTCTCCGTCCTATTACCTTTCACTCATCTTTAGTCTCTCCTCATGAACTAATTCCTTATCAGTCACATATAAATATATAATATATATGTGTGTGTATGTCTATATATCTATATTTATCTATCTATATCTATATCTCTATATAGATAGAGATATAGATGTCCTGAATTCCAATCCATCACCAATTACCTGTTGGATATTTCCATCTAGGAACTGTGATGGATGAAATCTGAAATAACTGAGGGAACAAAGGTTTGAGCTTCCAAGCATATCAATGCATGCCAATTGCATAATAAATCAGGATCAGGCCTCTTCAACTTATCACTGGACCATGAATACAGAGGGAGATAGATTTTTATGCATTAAAAGAAAACAATTTTCAGGATATAAAGTAGGATTAGATAGTAAACGAGATTAGGTAATCTGATTTCTATTTGGAGGAGAGATTAGAGACTTTTCCAGTTGGGAGTAGGGAGGATCTGTGAGTTTCAAGAGTTGGCAGCAGGAAAAGGTAGACTGTTCCAGATGTGAAATAGGATATTACTCAATTCCCACGATTAGCAAGCAAGTGGAATTTACGGGAAAATGAAACTTAGGTCTCAAAATGGAGTCAGTTTTACAAGATGAGTCAGTTTGATTCCCATAGTTCTCTCAATTCCCTGTCAACATCTCAAATTCAACATCCCCCAAATTCCTCCTAGTCACCCGGGTTCACAACTGCAAGATGAGTCTTGACTCTTCACTGTGTCACACTCCCCCAATATCTAATAAATTTCCTAGTCTCCTTGTCTTATTGATTCTACCTCCATACCATTTCTCACCCCCATCCCCTTCTCTACATTCACGTTGCCACCACCCTGGTTTAAGCTTTCATGTTCTCAACTACTGCAGTAGCTTCATCGATAGTCCCCCTGCCTGATTTCTTCTCTCTCCATTTAATCCTCCACATAGCCCCCAGAATAAGGCATGAGTCTGATTATATCATTCTACTACTCAAAAAACTTCTACAACTCCCACCCCTAAGATAAAGCAAACGTTTTTCCAGCCTGGTCTTCAAGGCTTTTTGCAATCTGGCTCCAAACTACCTTATCAATTTACTTCACGTTATTCCTCTTCGTGCCCTGTATATTCCTGCTAAACAGACTTCTAGTTGTTCTAGGAACTTGGCATTCCATCTTCTAATCAGTAAGCAAGAATTTGTTGAGCACTTAGTATGTGCCAGGCATTGGAGATACTTAGACAAAAATAAAGCAGTCCTTCTCCTCAGGGAGCTTACATTCTATCAGAGGGAGAGATGCATAATAATAATACATATTTACATAATAATACATATTTACACCTGGTAAATTCATATGAAGTAAATGCAAGGTAATGGGGGTTACTGGAGGGGATCTAGAAAGTCTTTGTGTAGGAGGTGGCGCTTAATCTGAGCTCTGAAGAAAACTAGAACTATTAAGAGGTAGAGATGAGAAAGTACCTTCCAGGTAGGAGGCACAGCCTGTGCAAAGGCATGGAGCCAGGAGATGAATGTTGTGGATGGGGAACAGTAAGAAGGCCCGTTTGGTTGGATCATCAAGTGTACGAAGGGAACTAAGAGGTAATAAATTTGGAAAGGTAAATTGCAGTCAGATTGTATGTAGTGGGGGCTTTAAAAGCCAAATAAAAGTAGTTTATATTTGATTCTAGAGTCAATAGGAACTCTCTGGAATTTATTGACCAAAGCAATGACATAGACAGAATTATGCTTTAGGAATATCCTTTAGGCAGCTCTTTTGGATTGTGGATTTGAAAAGAGGAAGAACCAATTAGGAGGCTATCTCAACTTGAATGAGGCTTGAATGAGGGCTTCAACCCCAGGGTTGTGGTTGTATGAGTGGAGAGAAGGGGATAGATGCAAGAGATACTGTGTAGGTAGGATCTATGAGATGGCAACCAATTGAATATGAGGGGTGGGGGAGAGTTGAGGCTATAGTGGTAACAGGAAGGATTCGTGAAGTTAGAAATAAGGGCAGGTTTGCTGGGGGAGAAAAATGAGTCTGTTTAGGATATGTTGAGTTTGAGATGCCAATGAGAAGTACAGTTGGGACCTCAGAAGGGAGACTGGGGACAGATATATTGACTTGGGAGTCATCTTTCTAAGGATGATACTTAAACCCAGAGGAGCTGATGAAATCACTGAGGAAGAATGTAGAGAGAGAAGAGAACCCAGGACAGAGCCACAGACCCATAATTAGGGGGCAAGGGCATGGATGATGACCCAACGAAGGAAGCTGAGAAAGGAGTGGTCTGCTAGGAAGGAGTAAAATCAAAATAGAGCAGTGTCACCAAAACCCAGTAGAGTGAATATACAGGAGGAGATGGTGGTCAACAGAACCAAATGTTACAGAAAGTACTAGAAGGATGAGGATTTAGAAAAGGGCATCTGATCTAACTAATGAGAAACAAATGGTAACTTTGGAGAGGGCAATTTCAGTTGAATGTTAGCTCAGAAACCACACTGAAGAGCTTTAGAAGAAAATGATAGGAGAGGAGGCAGACGTAGAGATTGCAGACATTTTTTCTAGTTTGACTGTGAAAGAGAGGACAGGTCTAGGTTAATGGCTTAGGGCAGTAGTGTCAAACTCAAATAAAAATAAGAGCCACTAAACTGTATGTAAGGATCCCTGCAAACCAATAATTTTGGCTTAAGGATGAGGGAGAACTGGTTATGTTTTGAGATCTGTAAGAAATGGGCTTGTAGGTTAGGAAAGCCTGAAGATTGGAGGGAGGCTGATGTTTGTTGGAAACATCTGCCAAGGAGAAGGGAAGATATAGGATCAAAGGCACAAGCAGAGGGATTGGCCTTGGTAAGGAGAATGGTATAGAAGAAAAAAATATTTTTTTTATTCTGCATTTTAAGCACAAGTCTGCCAGAAAACAATTTTATTTAATTTAAAATTATTCTAGTATCTAAGAATTTCTAGCCTAAAGAGAGATTCAAATGGGCATAGTCCCTATTCTTCCTCCCCCATACCCTCAGACATGACTCTCTTCCCAAAACAATTTGAGGTAACATTTCACAAGACTCTTGAAGAAAGGAAAAAAAGTCATACTATGTTAAAATATGGTTTGGGGTAACATTCTGAAAAATTGAGTAGCAAAAGTCACCATCCCATTCCTTCCCAGACCACTCTCTTTAAGGCATTTCTGAGACTCTTCAGCAATTAATAGAAATAGCTAGATGGAGAAGGATGTTTTTTCTTTTGTTTGTTTGTTTTTGTTTTAGGGGATGGGGAAAGTGACTGCCTTATCACTGCAGGAATGGGAAAGGTTATGCTTTATCATGAAGAATTATTCTTTGTTCAGCAATTTAGTTATCACCCATAATCCAGTTCTCTAAGAAAGGCATTTTGTTCTACTTACTTTCCGAAAGGGAAAAGTCTGGAAAGGTCTTTTAAGCTAGAGAAAATATTATTTCTTAATATTTTATTTTATTTTTTTTTCTTTAGGCAATTGGGGTTAAGTGACTTGCCCAGGGTCACACAGCTAGTAAGTGTCAGGTGTTTGGTCTGAGGCCGGATTTGAACTCAGGTCCTCCTGACTTCAAGGCCGGTGCTATTTCTTAATATTTTTAACACTAATATTTAATATTTTAAGTTTTAAAGTAAAAACGAAGTTTTTAATATGTCTTTTTTTGGGAGACTGAATCTCCCTTTCTTGTCCAGGGTGGAAAACAACAATCTCACAGGTTGGTCCTACTACTGATCAGTATGGGAGTTTTGACCTGCTCCTTTTCCAGCCTAACCCTTTCACCCCTTCCTAGGCACTTTGGAGACCTCTTCTCCCTCCCCTGCCCTTGGGGTAGGGGCTCACCCTTTTGGTGCTTGACTTAGTGAGGAGGATGCCTGATCAGCTAGCCCTACGGCACCTCTGAACTCCAGGGCTTGAAGAGAGCTTTAGCTTCCAAGGTAGCAGGAATACTGCCACTGCCATCAGCTTCCTTCTCATAGACCTTAATGTACTCCCTCCTCGTCCCCACCTCTCAGAGTCCTGTTTTTAAGTTCAGCCCAGGTGCTACCTCCTAGGGAATGCCTTTCCTGATCCCCCAATCATGAGTGTTTTCTCTCTCTTCTCGGATCACCTCACATTTGCTTATCTGTGTGCATGCTGTAGAATGTAAGCTTCTTGAAGTTAGATACTATTTTGTTTTTGTATATCTGGTGTCTACCAGTGTTTTCCTACACAGTAGGTGCACTAAATGTTTATTGAATTGAAAGTGTACTTATATGTCTAGGGGAAGGGTGTCTCTGAGTGCAACTGTATGAATGTATATGGTTATGGTGGGTGTATTCCATGTGATAAAGGAGTGAATGACTCAATGGGAAAGAGCAGAAGGGGTGGGAGGTGCTCACCCTTCCCACCCCTCCTCTCCCCTTGTTGAGGACCCCAGAGACAGGCGGTGGAGCCAATTCTGCCCACAGCTCTTTGCCTGGTTCTATGGAAGAGGACAAAACTGGAGAGGCTTAAGGTCGTGAGATAAACTGGGCTCTGTCCTTTCTCCCACAGGCAACCCCCTATCTTGGAACTTCGATGGATTCTGCTCTGCCTGAGAACTCAAGGGCCATGAATGAGAAGAACCTGAAGTTGGTAAGCTTGGTGACTGACCAGTCCTGAACATGCTGCACGGCTGCCTTCCTCTCTCTCAAACCCACCTGGTCCGTCTCCATCAGCAAGCCTGCCCCTGTGGTTTGGCAACCCTGTGAGAAGCAGCATGACGTAGGAGGAGGAACACCGGACCAGGCCAGGAGACCTGGGCTCAAGGCCCTGGCCCCCATGCTTCCTGGCTGTGTTGCTCTGGGCCAGTCATTTCTCTCCGAGTCTTAGTTTCTTCCTCTATAAAACAGCCTAATGGCACTTTGAGTCTCTTCCTTCCTGAGTCATGGGGAAGAAAGTCCTTTGTAAACAGTTTAAGTACTACGGAAATGAGAGCTTCTGTTATTATTCTTTCAATAATGATGCTTCTTAGCCCTGAGCTAGGTTGGTACTGCCTGGGCACCTTTCCTAGACAGCCTTTTCTGCCCTGCATCACTGAGGTGGCGTCATGGGGGGTAGTGGAAAGAGCCCTGGATTCCCTCCCACTTACTAGCTCAATGGCCTTGGGAAAATCACTTCCCCTCTCTTGGCCTCAATTTTCTCCTCTGTCAGTGAGGTGGGTGGAGGGATGGGGATTAGCTAAATGGCCCCTGAGGTTTCTAAAATCTCTAGATCTTTGGTGCTACGACCCCGCTGACTTGTCCTCTTCCTTCCGTGTCGCAGGGGTGTTCAGGAGGCTGCACAAGAGTGGGGGAT